AAAAAAAAACAGTCCTGACCGCTATCATGTCTGCTGTTCCTCATTTCAAGGTTTCAGTTGATGGAAGAAAAGCCACGATTTATCTGGAAAGGTCATTCAAGGTAGTCTGTGGTTTTAAACACAACCAAAATACTAAAAATACCAGAGGGAAAGAAGTACAATTATAATATTTTATTAGGACATTTTTAAAGTATATTTACTTACATAGATATAAATGGTAATTTCTAATTTTCTGGTTATAATATTTATTCTAGACTTTATAAACTATAACTTTGAAGGGTAGATATGGTACAAGGCCACAGCGCAGCACACTATGATTCTTAAAAAAAAAGCTGAAGCTATTATAAAAAAGCTTATCCAGCAGAATTCAGGATTGGATTTCAGTAAAGGTTTGCATCTTCCATAATTTGCACTTTAAACGTACAAGTAAAGATGGAGAGGCTTGGAAAAATATTATTAGTCTTCTTTGACAACTTTAATATTGTGAGTTATCAAAGTGGAGCAAATTTAACCTTTTCATACACACATACTTGGTTATGTTCATTAGCTTCTAGAAATATTTTATCAAACAAGTCTCCATCACTGACAGTGGCCTTCTTCCATCTGTATGCATTTCTGTTTTGTGTGATTTGGAACATTTTAGTTTAAGTTAAAGATTGGTTGCTTTATTATACCACATAATCCCTCATCTACAATAGGTTATTCTTTGTTAGTGCCTCCTCATACTTATAAATATATAAACACAACTGCATGATGAATACCTTCAGAACCAGCTGGTATTTGCAGAAAGAATCTGGCATTATTCATGTGCCATGCAGTGCAAATCCTCCTCTCTTTTCTTTTACCTTTCTTTTAGGAAGAAACATGCTGAATATTCCATCCTCACATTTGTGGCATTTTTGACCTTAATAAAAACAATGAAACACACATTGAATACACATTGAAATTTTAGTTAAGCTGATCCATAGATTTTATCCAAATACTTTTTGTGTAAACAAAAGCAAATTGAAGCAGAACAGCAAATTTCATGTTCTGCGAATAATCTCCTTGTCCCTCTATTTTGGTCTTGTCATTTACATATTGGGTTTTTTCCCCTTCTTTTTTTAATAGTTGATACTATTTTATGTCATTTTGTTCCTTTATAGTAAAAATATTTAATTTGGCTGCATTGATTGTTGTGACAAAGACGCTTCCAAATACCACATCCACAAATGTACATTTGTCAGAAAAAACGGTCTACTTTTTGTGAAAGAAATAGAGCAATACTTTACGATGAAGATTTCGTCACAAATTAAAGAAAAAGCGAGCTTATTGCCGTCCTGTCGTTCTTTATTGCCCCCTTTCCTTCTCTGTTTCACAACACCTACTGCCTCTTTGATGTCCATACCTTGCTTTATACTGGCTCATAGTTCGATTTCACGGTAATAAAGGCTGTAAAAAAGAAAAATGGGCGCTTTGACGTTTCCGCTGTGTTGACGTCACGCGTACGTAGATCCTGCACGGCCAATAATAAGCGGGGTAGTTGGTGAGTGCAGTGTAACTCCCGGCTGGAAGGTGGAAGAGCGCCGACCGAAGAAGGAACCGCGTGTTACACAGCAGAAGGTCACTCAGGTTGGGTTGTGCTGGAGAGAAGGTGAGCTTAAAAAAAAAGAAAAGAAAAGAAACGATAACAGTAAAAAAAAAAAAATGAAGGCCTAGCTACACTATTTCAAGTCGAGATGGGGAAGTGTTAAAGCTTATTGTAGTTAAAATAAATAAGACTCGATGCAGATGGTACGTGGCCATCTTTCGCTTTCCTCAGAGTGCGGTGTATTAAAATGTTTATATATCTGATATTCAGTTTACTGATGTGTCAAACTTTGAGCAAGTTTGCTAGCTCCGTATCCGAGCACGTGCACGTAGGTAGCCGGTCTCTTCGTGAACGTCACCTGTCACTTGGGTCTCGCGAGCTACACGCTGCAGCTTGCAGGGCGCCATAATGAAGCAGGCCGGTTGTCACGTTCAGCCAGCATTGCGGAGTATTGTTCCGGTGTAAGCTAACGCCAGGTCCTAGTAACGACCCGTTCCTGTAACGTGCGGGTAACCGGGCCAATGTCGAGCCTTCTCATTGACCTTGTCACACAAGCTACTGGCGGCTAAATATAGGATAATGCAGATGCACGTGGTTGGGCGATTTTCAGGAACTTCTCAGATAATTTAACTCTAAATAAAGGTGACAAATTGTCTCACATAAAACACGTGGAGCTGGCTCTCGCTGTGGATGAGTTCTCAGAGCAGCAGTGGGTGAACTTGACAGCCCTGTAAACTGCGAGCTGTCATTGTCTTAATGGGTGCAGTTTTAATATAACACTACAGACAGTACTCTGTAGTACTGATTGTTATACAGGCATAGAGGGCTAAATTGTGCCGAAGAGACACACGCTGCGGTATCAGAGTAGAACCCACAATAGTGAAAGCGAACAGGAAACAAAACTCTCCTGAAATCTCTGTTCAGTAAATTCAAGGGCATCCAGTGTCGCTCCTGATGCTTTGAATTCAGAATTTCCTGCTGTTTAAAAATACTTCTCAAAAAAAAAAAAAGGATTTGCCTGCCCTGCTTTTCCCCCAGTGTGACTCTCACATGATTTGCTACTCTACAATAACTCCTATACACCGCTGACCTCACATGTTGTTCTTTTCCTCTTAGGAAGCGACATTTAGCTATATTTCAATATATACAGTCTAAACTATAAAGTGCATCATTTCCTGTACATTGGTGAATGGTCAGGTAAGTTTCTCACATGCTGGTTTTATTTCAGCTAAGGTTAACTCTGTGCTTGGGTGAGGTTTCCACCTAATTGTGTGGTATTTGGATGTGTAATTAACATAGGGGGTGTAGTGCAAGTGCATTGTGGTAATTACATTATTTTATGAACTAATTGTGCTTTAAGTAATGATCCAGTACTAGATAACTGTTGGGATTTTTTTTTTCCTTTCTTTTGGAAGCTGAAACAGACAAGTTTCATAAAGAGCCCTTGGCACACAGAAGGAGGGCTTTAATTCCCATAATGACTGTTGTTATGCTTATGTCAGATTTAAGGTGATCGTTAATCTGGTGAATGAGAGTGACTGGTTCAGTTATTGTGTAAAACATTGGTGTGGTCCAACCTTTTTGTCCTTCTCAATCACCCTCATCTTTACAACAGCTCTGTTCTTGTTGCCAGATTGTTCCTCATGATGAAGCAACAGTTAGCCCTTTTTTTTTCTTTTTTTCCAGACAAAGGGATTTGTTCAGTTCTGAACTCTGTACGAGGAAGTTTCATTTGTAGAGCCAGACTGTACTCCTCTCTGACCCTGACAGTGACATTTCAATTTTTTGCAGGACTGTGCAGTCCTTGAAGGTTGAACTTGAGGCATACTCGATAAGGAGCTGTGTCTGACAGCTTGAATGTTTTTTGGGAAGATAAACTTGTGAAAAGAGACAAAATGCTGTGCAGTATTTTGTGGAAAAACACAAAATAACTGGTGAGAGTGGCTCGCTGTTCCAGATCTTGTTTTAATAACCTTGATCATGGGCTCACAGGGGGCATATATCTCTTGTTACAGCTTGGTGTGGGGGGGGGGGGGGGAGGAGGACCATGCCTGCCAGTATCCTTCTCAGAAGGGTGGGACACACACACTATCTCTTGGGCACACACACATGTTTAAAAACCTCTTCAATGGCGATGCATCTTCTGCCTTTTGGCTACAGTTGTGGTTCAGCAACTGATGTACACAAGTGGGCTTCTCCTGTGATGTAAAAACGTTTGTTTTAAGTAAAGTGCTGTTGAAATTGAACATATGAATTCTTGATTTCTATTTAATATTAATATCTATATGTTTCCAAGTCTCAAAGCGTAGCTAATCTGATTAAAGGATCGGCTTAGCTCAGAACCGGTATGCTTGGTATGTACGGCTGTAGTCACAGCTCTACCCACCTTAGAGATCAATTAGCTTTACACGGTAACTAATCCTTGCCTAGTTCTACTTTCTAAAGCTCACATCAGTCACACTTAAAGTTGTGAGCAAGAAAAATATAAGGCTGCTCATTTGTTGTCCTTTTTAGAGCTGATTTTACTGCTTTTCAATGTGGTTCTGGTTTATTACCCTGAAGGTTGTCGAGGTAGTCCTGCCAAGCCATGCTCTAAAGTTACCTCATAGTGCTGAGAATAGACAAAGTGTTTTCTGAGCAACTTTACCGAGGGCAGGTTCCAACTTGTCTGTGCTTTCATTTGCTTTGTGGAAATATTAAGCTTTCTATCTATTCTGTCTTGGAAGATTGCCATCGAAGTCTATTAAGGTCGTGTTCTTCTGCTGCCAATTAGACCGAGCCTGCCCGCCCGCCTGTTTGTGTCCCCTTGGCATTTGCCCCCACAGACCTTCCACACGCACTGTCCAGTTAGACATCTCGAGCTCCCATCTCTAGCTGCAAATCGGTCCTAAGGATAATTATAGGATTTCTCCTGATATTTGTGTGAACAGCACACATTATATTATTAAACACTTCCATACCATTTCAGAATGCATCAACCCGCGAATGCACAATTTATTTGTATGCCAACTCTCGGAGCATGTGGATTTCAAGTCGGTGTCAACAAAACAATGTTTTCAGTGTTTTTAATCAGGCCAAAGTTCAGTGACCGTGATAGTGGTTTAACCCTGTGATTCTAAACTTTTCACACAGTAAAATGATCCACTCCAGGGCTTGATGAGACAAGATTCGAGCTTGGTGTCTTTTTGTTTTTGAGGGCACAGCTATTGAAAGAGACGTTGAGCCATCAATTTTTATTTATTTTTGTTTAAATATATATTTTAAATAAGCAAATCCCACAAAGGCCTGTTCTGATACAGGAAAAATGTTAATGTTAAGTAATCAAAATGTGTGTATTCAAAATGTTTCTGTAATGTGGCCATAGCTTATCAACAAATATCCTTTGTGTGCTGATGGTTGGGAAATTTCCCCTGAAATTGTGATTGCAGTACAAATGTTGCAGCATTGTTTCACATTGTCTGCATGTGGTTCCTGTGAAGAGGAACTCCACTTCTTGGATTTTAAAACGGTTCAGTTACATTTTGGTCAGTTTTTTTTTTTTACCTTGTAAAGCATAGCAAGACAAAAAGCTATGCTTTTAGGTCCTTCTTTATCATGCTGCGAATTCCAGTATTTAAGATTGTATGTAGAGAACTTGTATTTCGAACCTTGTTGGCTTTGTTAAATTGACACCTTGCTTTGTTTGGCATACGATTTTGTGGGAAATCAGTGGTCTTGCATTCAGTTGGAGTTTACAGGGGTCTCAGATGGTGTTTTTTGACACTGGCCTTTTGTGCCTGGAAACGGCACTGTTTTTCTAGTTAGTAAGATAGGAAGCCCTGTGGATGTTTAGACAAGAGGTGGGGATGTATTGTTTGGACAACACACAAGTAAAACTGTAACACACTGCTCACACTGTAAGGGAACTGAAATTGAAGCACAAAAAATTCAAGGCGCACACTACGTGAAGAAGAGGTTTGGTTCATTACCCTTTATAGATTCAGTTGTGGCTGCATTCACCTACTCTGCAGTGTTTAACTTATTTTTTTTTTCTTCTTCCTTATCTTTTTAGAATTCTGAGAAGCAACAATGGACCAAGCAAGGTCAACAATATCCAAGATTGTAAGTATAAGTGTAAACCCAACAATAACAGGCTTTGCTTTAAGCTTTCATCCTAAACGGGACATCATCATTTCCACACTTGAAATGATTGTTATTGCAAAAATGAGAACTTGCATGACCAGAATTAAATTTTTATTCTATTTTGGGAACAAACACAGGAAGAACTTGAGAAATACAATTGTTTCATATTCAGAAATGCATTGAAATGTTAAACTGTTGCATTGCATAATTTTTGTTTTAATTAGTGATTGGTTCCTCTTGTTTGGCTAGCCACACTGAAACTGGGAAGTCCACCAGTTAGATGTAATCTTTAGGTTTGTAAAGCACTAATTATAAATTGAGATCTAGAACTATTCTTCAGTCAAATCTCTGTTCGGTCATAAAGCAAAAACCTTTTACCTCTTGTAAGTCCAAGCAAAGATCCTGAAATCAAACCACTGCTGTTCTTTGGGAGTTACTGAAATAATTTAATCTGCTTACCCTTTTTCTGTTTGTGATAGTTTAATGGGGAGCCCCACTCCTACACACGATTCAACTTGACCCAGAATATGGAGGGTGACAACAGTCAGGTGGAGATGAAGCTGTCATCTGAAATAGATGAGGAGACTGGGGGAAATGGCGTTGGCGGCCACCTGAATCACAACTCAAATCGCACACCCTATGTGGCTCAAAAGTTTGGACGTACACCCAAGAACCTCTGCTTTATGGCAGCTACAATCTTCCTCATCTTCATCATCGGTAAGAGAGGGAGGAAGGAAGAAACTCTTTTTAATTTAGTGCACAATAACTTGAGTGGTTCTTTGGGGATCTGTCCCGTTGGATTGTGTGTTACTTGTGAAAAAGTGGAAGTTCACTGTCCGACAGCTATTTTAACATAATTTTCCCGTGTGTGGGTGTGTGTGTGGTGAGGGGACTTACCATGTGTCATTTTATCTGGAAAAACATGGCTTAGCTTTGAGCTGTCATCTGAGTAAGACACTTCAGGGTTTGGCTTGCACCACTTAATTCAGTTGATCTGTTCCCATCCCTTATCTGAAATCACTGCCACTTTCAGGCTATTTGATTGGCTACCTGGTCCATCGGAATAAGGATTTGGCTCCCACCTGTGCATCCTCTGCTCTCCGCTATGAAGACGTTTCTGTCGCCCATGAGACCGGTGCTGCTCCCCTCATGGACTGGGATGATGTGAAAAAGCTTCTTGCTGAAAAACTGACTACATCCAGTATGGACGCTGTCCTTAGGTGAATAGAAGCTCCATGCACTGCAGCACTGCACACATTTTGTTATGTGTATTGTATTTTTAACAGTAAGTAACCCGTTTTTGTTTTCCCTGTCACAGTCAGCTGAGCAGTAG